TGACTGCTGTCTAAAAATGAATGGTTTAAGATTGTCTTTCACATCAAAAAGAAAAACAGTTGAGTAGGCTGCCGTGCGTATCCGCCACCAGAGAAATCGCATTTTCCAAATGTTGTTTGGTTGTTTTTTAATATCCTTTAAGAAGTGCATTTTTCAAATAGTTGCTATTATTTTAATTAATCAGTAAAATCAGCTTCTAATTTGACTATAAAATTATCAGTTGGCCATTAGAATAGCTATAAAGCTAGTTTTAAATGTGAGCTCTTTCAAAATTGTGCAGCGTAGGATTTATGTGAAATGGTATTTTAATTACTTTATTCATTCTTTGTGGGGAAAATGAACTTTCATCTCTCATGGCAGTATTTCATTGTCATTATTGGTTACTCATAATTATATGTACTTGTTCCTGTGACAGAGAATAAGCAGCATTTTCTACAATAATATGCATGAAACTCCCTAATATTTTCTAAATTAGTTTGTATATTTATATTCTTAGTCCTCACAACAAATAGCTAATTGCTTTAAATTAAATAAAACCTCAAGCTTCCTCAACCAAATTCTAGTTTATTTTTAACTTTCCCATTGGGAACCAGGAGATAATGGAATATGGCGATAAATGTTTTTGAAGCAAATTTTGCATTAGGATGTTGGAGTTAGAGGTTTGTCATGTTGATGGAGAAGGCTAATCCTACAGCTCTTCATTTTCTCATCAGTCTTACAACATCTGGGACTTGGTATATTCTCTATTCATTATTTACTGCCCTAGCAAGATTCTTCCTGACCCATTAAATGAAGCCCTAGACAAAGTGGAGAGAACATTGTTTTAGTGAGGTCGAGCACACACAGGTGTTATTAGCCGGTCTTAAGAGAGGTGCTTTTTACTTTGAGCAAAAAAGCCAAATTAATCATTTTATATTTAAGGCTTTTAAGTTTAATTAAATCTTTTTCATCCATTATTTGTTGACTAGAACTGGTTGTTTTGGCTTTATATAACCTTAGTTTTGGAATAGAAAGTGAGAAGAAAAAGCAGTGCCTTGAGACTTGCTTTGCTGCTCAGAATGGCGAGTTAAATCCATACCGAAGGTTGCAGCTTTGTGTTACATTGTGAAGTGCAGGATTAGAGGGATAATATAACACACAATGCAGGGTGATAAAGTTGCCTTTTTGTGGGTCCCTTGAACACCACATACTTAGCAAAAATAGAACCTTTCCTTTTTTCTGGTCAAGAATAACTGTGAACTTTTTTTTTTTTTTTTTTTTTTTGGAAGTTGCAGAAATGAAAGCCTGAATTTCTATGGTAGGCTACTGTTATGATCCATAAGTCATTTTACTTGACTGAAAGATAGCAGAGTCAGCTTGTCTACTGAAGGGGAACATATTTTTTAACAACTTTATATTTTATAATTTGCCAGCACTGTTCCTTTCTATTTTGCACTTTGAGGGATGGGGATTCTGGCATGTTGGTGTGACTTTTCTGATTCTGGGAGATAGAATGGCAACTGGATTCTCCTATCCCCATAACTAAGATGGTGGTTTCAGCACCCATCTATTTTGGTCTCAATGTGAAAGGCAGGCAAAACTATGCTGACAAACTTTGTTAGAGATCCTCTCCCCCTAGTTGCAAATTTTAAAGACACTCCTGAATACTCAGTTTTACGAAAAGGCGCAAAGGCTAGGTAATAATAATAATACTTATAAGCTAAGTCCGATAGGCAGGAAATAAAAGAGAAATCTAAAAACAAATACAAGATATAAAAATGGATCCGTCACAAATATTTTTGACCACCTACTATGTGTCCTGCATTTGTGTCACACAACATATATATAAAAGGATGGATAATGATAGGGTATTTCTTCCTCATTATATAATACTTGCCTAATGAAATTAAAATTAAATTTCAGCATGTAAATGTTCATCTTTTTTTTTAATCGACATGTAGAATTTCAAACCTATAAAAATATTTAAAAAGGAAAGTTAATTAATTTGGGACAACTTGGCTCTTTAAGGTATTATATGTAAAGCACACAATGCCTGGCACAGAGTAAAGCCACGGTAAATGCTGATGCTACCATTGTTTACATTGATTTAGGAATGTTTACGCTATGTCCAATCCCAAGTATATATACTGGCTAATACTAAGCTGTAGAATGACATACAGCTCCATCAGTCATTCTGAATGCCTGGGAAGAAAAAGAAAGAGCAGGACAAAATTCTACCACCAGCATGAAAATCAGGGAAATTCTCAAATCAGAGAAATATCCTCTTGCCAGAAGTAGGTGTTACAAGTAGCTGGGAGTAGAGACAGAAACAACACAAAAACGGGTTTTTCTGAAAGCAATCAGATAATTTCTAGGTATCACCTCCAGGATCCAATATGCTGAAGAACCATTCTTCTTAGTCATGTTTTCACCTGAAGTTTGTGACACAGCTTGTTTAATTTTCTGTGTGTATATCCAGTATTATAGTAAGAGAGACTTGACTTTCCATAAACAGCTGACTTTACTGGAATGCATTTATTCTGTGAAGTTGAAAATATCTTACTGAAAAATGCAGCTCTCCACCATGCATTGAGGAATTTGAAAGCTGTGACAGAAAATTTGTGCCAATGGCATTAGGAATCACATGTTACGAAACTGTCCACAGGGGAGGTTAGGGAATCACCCTTTTCCCACTGATGGCTTCTGGGCCGCATGCTGCCGCTGTAGCTGGCTCATGCTCCTGGAGGCCCCGTCAGGGCCCAGGGTGGCTATGGTTGGCCTCCCTAGCAGGAAATGTTAAAGCCCATGTTAGTGACAGAGTCTGTTGTCCTGCCCTGCTATGCCTTGACTCAACTCTGTCTTCTGTTTTCACTCCCTTGTCCTGTTATTTGGTTAGGACAGACTGCCAAAAAAAGTGTTTCTCATCCTTAGCTCCCGGGTCCCTTCTGTGGTCGTCAGGCTTATCAAATGTCTTTTAGATTTGAAACAGAAACACAATGAAGCCCAAAATTGAGCATAGATAATATGAAGCTGCTCTGAGTCAATTGGGGTGGAGATCCGGAGCCTTAGGACCAATTCTTCCCCAACTCCTCACGTAGCTGCTGCTACGGGAGGCCAGCAAAACCCCCAGGTTCCAGGGAGCACAGTTTAAAACTATTGCCCAAAAGCACTTTATGTAGAAGCATAGCCAATTTTCTAAGAATCCATGGAGAAATAGCTCCAACTGTAGAATTTAAGTTCTTTTCATAAGTACCCATAATGTGTGCTGCCTTCTAACCAGGACCCTAGTTTTTGTTTACCCCAACATAATTATATAAGCAAAGGTCTGTCATGAACAGAAGAAAAGAAGAACAGAACAAGCTTTCAGAGGTAAAGCAGGGTCTTTACTTGCCTGATTTAGAACTGTCTTAAGTCTCCCTCCCATTCTGTGTCCTGAAGACTGCAGTTATGGTGGAATAGGAGCAGAAAAGGGGTAAAAGTCCTTGGGGAACAAGGGAAACCAAATCAGCAAGATCTAGAAGTCAAAGCCAAGTGAAAGAGGAGAGTAATGGGCACAGGTCCAGAGCAGAACACAAGAGGAGGCCAGAGCACAAGCATCAGGTTCCAGTCCGACCATTCCCTCCACAGCACATGGACAGGCCTGGGAAGGGGTAGTCCTCATGCAGTTTAGAGTCAGAGAATTGTTTCACTCTCTTCACTTCTAGCCCTTGGCTTCTACCTCCCCTTCCTCCACAAAGGAAGGAGTTCCTGTCTTCCTCCCCATACCACCCTCCTTTACAGGGGCACCCAGAGAAGGCTGAGCAGGCAGTGTCCAGGCTGGCTTCTTGGGCTGTGACAGCTGGAGCAGCAGTGCTCAGTCTTGTCTCTGGGCCATGCTCTTGATCAGTCATGTTCACAGGCCTGACACGCTCTCGTGGACATAGGCAGATTTTGCCAACCCTCTCTCTTTGCAAGGCCACAAATGTTTTTGTGTGTTGGTAGTTGTGAAAGCACTGTACAGACTTGAGCAACTTGCCAGGGACATGTCAGGAGTGGAGGGCTCTGGGGAACTTGAATGCAGAGAAAACCAGCTGCACCATCTCTTCTCCACCTACTTTCCTCTTACTCAGAAAGATGCACTGATGTGAAAATGACGTTAGGGTAGGTATCATCTCAAATTCGCTCCAATGTCTATGAGAGCAATTATTGGAAAACCTGTGCTATGATAATAATTTAAGCTACCTCATACTTGATGCAAAGATTAAGGCCCTCTAATATCATTAAATAGAACTCTAATAAGCTCCATTTAGGATCTGTTATCCTGAAATCTTGATATGAATTACAATACAGGCGCTTCTTAATTTATTGTTAGTTTCACCTATCTCCAAAAAGGAATGACAGTAACGTGTATTTCTAAAGCACATGATAATAAAACTCTTAAAATTGAGATAGAAGTGTTTAAACCTTGTCTAAGTAAGGTGGATGAAGCAAATATAACAAACGTCCGTGCCAGGAAAGTTACGGCAAGTGCTTTATTGAAACTTGAGCTTCCTGATAGCAAAAGTAAGAAAAGGAAGCAGATGAAGAAAAACATGCCAGTCTTTCAAGAAAAAAATATTTTTCCAAGTACTAAATTCTAAAAATGGTTTGTCACACAGCCATTAAATGTAAAATACAATGCAATGAATAGCAGTTTTTTAAAAATCACAGATGTATTATATTCAAGACCCTTGCTTGGATTGTGCCCCTCTCCCTTTACAGAGTAACTAATTTGCTTTGCAAAATCCACAGTCACCTTGCCTGATAGATACAGAGGCTCTAAAATCCAAAAGAGTGAATATTAAGAATTTGTAATATGCTGTCGGAGGCTCATACATTCACTCAAAACTTATTAGAGGTCTCTCCCCAACCTGGTTGCAAATACAGGCCATAGATTAGGTTTGGAACAGACTGACTTCATATTATTTAGAGCTAATATGTTTATTTTATTTCTAAAGCCACAGGATCTCTAACTATTTGATCTTTTAAATCTCCTTTTTTAGGAGTTCTTTGGAATTTATCCTCATGTGATGCTGTAAAAATGACAATCATTCGAGATGCTCTTTCAACCTTAACAAACACTGTGATCGTTCCACATTCTGGATGGAATAACTCTTCTTTTGATGATGATCATAAAATTAAATTTCAGACTTCACTAGTTCTGCGTAACACGACAGGTTGCCTGAGGTAAATTCTTTATTTCTTCTTTCCAATTAGTTCTGTGATAAATAATATGTGTCATAGGTAAATTGATTTTAGGAGGACTTACTTTATCTAAGTTTCCAGTTTTTATTTCAAAATTTAGGCCACTGAACTTTGTTATTCTGGGAGAAAAACATCATGAGCACAGACTTGTGGCCTTAAAGAAGTTATCTTGTAAATGACTCTTCTGTGACTTACTCAGAAAGGCCCTTTCAGTCTAAGATTACTGCCAAAATTCCAGTGTTTTCCACTTTAACAGCATTTTTCTGGTAATCACATTCTGATTGCTAATGTGTTTGCAGCCTGGTGTTTGTTTAAATTCAAAATGTGATGGTTAAAACCATTTTGCTTTTAAAGAGGTGTGTGATTTAAACAATCAGTTTCAAGTTTTATAAATAAGCGAACATGAGCCCAAATACTCTTTTTTAGTCATTATCTTTTACAGTTAAAGTCTATATATAAAGTCTCTTGCAAGCGTGCACAGTAGAGTTCATTATTTGCCGTTAACACTCATCAGCTCCATTTTGACCCTGTTTCCCAGCCTTACAGTATCCTAAGAACTGGAAGCAAGCCTTAGGGCAGAGTGGAACAGGGACAGAAAGAGTGGGCTCTGGTCTCAGACCGCCTGGCTTCCAGGACCCCTTTGAGCCTCCGTTTCCTCATCTGTAGAATAAGGATGATAATACCGCCTCAGAGCTGTGAGGGGTCAGCAGGTGCTTGTGGAAGGTGCTTAGCGCAGTGTCATCATGTGAGCACTCAGTAAGTGTTGTTTAACATCTAAGCATCACCAAGACAGATAGCCTGAAAGACAGCAAAGCTTGCGTGGCTGGTCTGCAGCCTTCCAGCATTGTGACAGGTAGCTATCAGCCCCGGTCAGGGGGCAGTGCTGGTGGGGAGGTAACAAGAATTAGGATCTCAGAATGCAGGCCAGCTCCTCCTAATTCAGATGCCTGCATCCTAGGGTGGGTCTCGTGGCCTAGCAATCATCCAAAGAGCTAGGATTACTCCTCAGCCAGCCAGCTAGGCTTCAGGGAGAGCCTGGGGCAGGACTCACCCTAACTCCCCCTGTGGGTGAGGGATAGAAACATTTGGTGAATGCCCTCTGTGTAAAACCAATGACCAATAAAACAGACTAGGTCCCTGCTATGATGGAACCATATTCTTCCAGGAAGACAGACAAACAAGGAAACAAGAAAATAACAGTAGGTGCTATAAAAATAAATAGGGTGCTATAAAAATAAATAGTGAGGGTTATTGAATGGTTACTTTGGGGGTCAGGGGGTCTCAAATTTAAATTTAAGCCTACATCTGAAAAACCACAAGGAGTGACTCCCTAGAGGGTGGTGCTGGGGAAGACAAGAGTCATAGGCCAGTGAAGGGAATGGTTAAGGTAAAGGTTCTGGGCCAGAAATGAGCTTGCAGCCATAGCCTACTGAGCAAAGGGCAGAGTGGTACCAGATGATGTAGGATTTTGTAAGTCAGATGGGGTTTGCATTTTATTCCAAGTGCCATGGGAAACCATCAGAGTGTTCTAAGCAGTGGAGTAATGGGGTTCGTTTCTGGGTGCAGTGTGGAAGAGTGAGTATGGGCAGAAGTAGAGACAGGAACATCAGGCTGTTGCAGAGATCCGGGCAAACAGTGAGAGTGGCCTAGACCCAGGTGCTGGGGTGAGGTAGGCAGATTTGGGTTATTTTGTGAGGAAGAGCTGACAATGCTTACTAATAGATTTGAGTATTAGGAGTGAGGAAAGGGGGGAAATAAGGGTACACCTAGATCTTTGGCTGGATCAGCTGCAAGCACAGAAGGGCTTGATGGGGGTAAGGGAGAAGAATGCTTGGAAGGGTGAGCAGGTGAGCAGCTCAGAGTTTTGACAATGTCCAGTTTGAGAAGTCTAATTAGCTATCTACGTTCCGGTGTCAAGAAAGCAATTGGAGGAAAGAATCTGCAATTCTAGAGAGCAGTCAGGGCTAAGGGCAGATGTGTGCCAGCCTATGGCCATGGGTCCATAGGTTGTATTAAAGCCAAGAAGCAGAAGAAGGCACCTCGGAGAGTGCTAAGATGAAGACAACACAGGACCTGGGGTGCTCCCTTGGGCAGATGAGTCTGAGAAGCGCGACATGAGAGAGAAGCCGGGTGGGGTCCCAGAAGCCAGTGGAGAAAAGGAAGGTGGTGCAGAGAGGCAGGGCAGATGAGAGCCGCCGTTCCACTGCCCCCTCATCTAGTCGCAGTTTTGCAAATTCTCAATCTGCATAATTTTACAGGTAGCTTAGAACCATTGTTAATGGGACACAAAATAGATCCTTATTTGGTATCAATTTATGAAGACAAATTGATATAAAAAAATTTAGACAGAAAACCGTTTTCTGGGTGTTTTTTTTTTGTTTGTTTGTTTGTTTGTTTGTTTTGAGACGGAGTCCCGCTTTGTCGCCCAGGCTGGAGTGCAGTGGCCGGATCTCAGCTCACTGCAAGCTCCGCCTCCCGGGTTTACGCCATTCTCCTGCCTCAGCCTCCCGAGTAGCTGGGACTACAAGCGCCCACCACCTCGCCCGGCTAGTTTTTTGTATTTTTAGTAGAGATGGGGTTTCACCATATTAGCCAGGATGGTCTCGATCTCCTGACCTCGTGACCCGCCCGTCTCGGCCTCCCAAAGTGCTGGGATTACAGGCTTGAGCCACCGCGCCCGGCCTTCTGGGTGTTTTATAATTGAAAAGACGAGAAAAGTTTTAGCATAAGCAAATATCTATATTTAACTAGAAATGTTTATAATACAAGAAATTATATATTTCCTCTGTTCATCCAAGAAACATTTAATGACCACCTACTTACTGTACACAAAATATTATAATAGGCCCGGGGGACTGCAAGTAGCTTCTGGCCTAACAAGGGAGGTGAAGCATGTCTAGAAGTAGCCACCACCATGACTGAGAGCAGGCGGCCTTCCAGGAAGCAGGCACTTTTCTGATTATTTTCTATGTAGCAACTCACTTCTTCACAACAACCCTGTGAGGTAGTTACTGTTATTTTCCTCCTTTTACATATGAAGAGGCTCAGGAGAATAGGCCACTAAACAATTACATGAGGGAGTTAGAAAGTGACACATCATGAGGGAGATACAGTCCAAATGTGCAGGTTCCCTTCCATGTGTGGATAATGAGGAGCCGGCCACCATTGTGAGCTTCAGGGATGTTACTGTGCAAGCCCTCAGTGCCTCCTCAGACCTCTAAGTGGCTGCCACCTGTTGTCTGCTCTCTCAGATCCTTAAGGTAAGTCCACGTGGCTGATGAGTGCATGATTCATCTCAGCAGCTCCTCCTGTCTCCACCCCTTTAGGAACCTCAGCTCCGCGGGGGAAGAAGCTCGGAAGCAAATGCGGTCCTGCGAGGGGCTGGTAGACTCGCTGTTGTATGTGATCCACACGTGTGTGAACACATCTGATTACGACAGCAAGGTCAGTGCCGGCCTGGCTGCAGGAGGGCGTGGTGGCAGGTTGCCATGGTGCCTGGTGCCACTATTTGCATGCCATTGGTTCTTTCTGACCTGTAGAGCCTGTCCTCCTCAGGAGGCCACTCTCCAGATCAAAGGGCAAGTCTCCAAAATTATAGGAGCAAGGACGTGGCAACTTAAGAAAATATCCTGAGAACCGTGAGAACAGAGTGGCTTGGTGTGGTAAAGGCTTTCTCTCTGGTTATCCTAGGCTCATTCTCAGGGTGGTGCCCATGCTGCTATTTCCTCCAATTCTGCATCCCCACTAGAATCAGAGCCATCAGTACTTGAGTATCTACTGAATAAAAGTTCCTGGTTGAGGCACTGTAATCCCCCCAAACTCTCTGCCCTCTTGGCTGCAGTGCAGTCCACAGTCCCCACCCCCGGCACTAAGTGTTGCTGCACCTCTCTACACCCACTCCTGCTGCTGCCCTGTGGTTGGTCTGTCCCCAGCATGAGCCCCTTACCCTCTCCCTCCTGTGTCCGAGTGCAGGGCGTTCTGCTCATCATTTGTCAGCTGTGACGACCATCCAGGATCTTCCTGGGGACCGAGGAAAGTGGGAAGTACAGGAAAGAGAGACTGAAAGTGTCAGGACTTCCAAAGCGAGCCAGATACTTGGTGTCAGGATGGACTGGACTAGGAGAGGCCTTTGGAAGGTGTTGGATTGTAAGGGTGAGCCTGAGAGGAAAAAGGATGATAAGTGCCTGGGAAAAGAGAGAGGAATACAAGGGAACACTTTTTGTTTGAGCCTCATTGAACCAGGAGATCTGCAGATGAAATTGAGAGGAGTAAGCAAGTTGGAAAGGGAAGCTTGCTAGATAGGCAAATGCTGAACTTGGTTTTAGGCACTCAGTTAAATGACAGTTGGCCTCCCAATCAGAGGTGTGATAACAGTCTTTTAGGGAACAAAAGACCGTGTGCAGAAGGCAAATGTCAACAGGGAAAGACACCTCTGAACATGGCTCAAAAGAAGGGTGGAGTTGGGAGATTGAGAAGGAGGCAGACATGGAACTTGGGGATATGGTTGTCCCCAGGGAGGGAGTTGGGGCATCTGTTGTCATGCCAAGGATCTGCAGTAGTGAGAAGTGAGGCTCAGGCGTCTTGGGTGCAGCCTGCACGGCAGCAGCCCTGAGGAGAAACACTGGGCCGGAGCCTCATGCATTGCAGTCGGCATGAAGTCAGATCCTCAGCAGGACTGAGAAAGGCTCTGCATCCCGTCATCTGGGTATTCCACAAACACTCTAGAATCATAATTCCCTCTTCAGATTGTTTCAAGTTCCCAAAAATAAAAAGTAGTTCTTTCATATTTCCCATATATTTCCTGTCTGCAGTGTTCAGTACAGAAGTGTTTTGCTCTAATGTGCTGAGTTGTTTTTAATTATATGCCATGCTGGGTTTCAGACAGTGGAGAACTGCGTGTGCACCCTGAGGAACCTGTCCTATCGGCTAGAGCTGGAGGTGCCCCAGGCCCGGTTACTGGGACTGAACGAATTGGATGACTTACTAGGAAAAGAGTCTCCCAGCAAAGACTCTGAGCCAAGCTGCTGGGGGAAGAAGAAGAAAAAGAAAAAGAGGACTCCGCAAGAAGACCAAGTTAGCATTTTATCTGATATGAGACTCACGTTTCATTTTTCTGGGAGTGAGGAATCACATATTTGGCAAGAAAATAAATTTTCTGCATAGCTATAGCTGAGTCCCGCAAAGGTGAATGTTTTCAAGTATTGAAGATCATGTTCATTCTGCCTCCATTTAACGTGTGCTATTTGTCTTTCAGTGGGATGGAGTTGGTCCTATCCCAGGATTGTCAAAGTCCCCCAAAGGGGTTGAGATGCTGTGGCACCCATCGGTGGTAAAACCATATCTGACTCTTCTAGCAGAAAGTTCCAACCCAGCCACCTTGGAAGGCTCTGCCGGGTCTCTCCAGAACCTCTCTGCTGGCAACTGGAAGGTAGGATGACTTCCGCGTATCTACACTTCTTTCCATCTTTGCAAATTAACTTGAAATGTTACATGTATATGTTCTGCCTCAGTCAGATCAGCCCTGATGATGAAATGGTCACAGTTACTTAGTTTGTCTGTGAAGGGGGTAAAGGGAAAAAAGGGAGACATGCAGTTGCTCTGGGGATCCAAAGATAAATACAAGTCCCTCACTGTGAGAAACAGAAGGCTAGTGAGAAAAATAGATGGTGCCAGCACAGTGTAGAAGCCACAGGATGTGTGTGTTATGGGGTCCTGAAAGAAGACATCTAACCCAGCCACACAGTGTAAGGGAAGGTCAGGAAAAATGCGGAGTGAGGACATGGAGGAGATTTCCTGAAGGGGATGCTGCCCAGCAGAATCTCTAAGGATGAATGAAAGTAAGCCAGTAGAGGCTGAGGCTGCAGTATAGAGGGAGCCATCCAGATAACAGGGACAATAGGAGGAAAGTATCGCGGTGCAGAGAAGACAGTGTGGGCCAGGACTACTGGCTGCCCTCTGGGGCCCAGTGTGGAGCCAGGCATCATGGATAGGCCTGAAGGCCAAATTTCAGGAGCTGAGTCCTAACCTGCACACAGGAGGGGCTACTGAAAGAGTCTGGGCAAATGAGTGACAGAGACGGGCTAATGTCATCACTGCTCACCCACTTACATGGCAGTGCAAAAGGTGGATTCAAGGAAGGGAGAGTTAGAAGCAGGGATTGCATTTGGGAGCCAGTGCAGCAGTACAAACAGGTGAGAGATCTTGAGTGGCAGAACAGAACACAGGTTGGGCAGTGCTGTGGGGAGGGATAGAGGACCTCACTCTGTTCCTCTCAGGTAGTTACAGACATGCCTGTGTCTAAGGTTTCTGCATCTCTTTGCAGATGTATGACTATAAAAACTGAAGACAGTTTCCTCTTGTTACCACTGTAAGCAAGTTCTCAGAACTTTCTAAATGTCCCCCAGCAACTTCCCAGACAGTCCTTGTCTAAGACATTTTCAACCTCTAGAAATTTCCTGACAGGTGTATTTTGTAGCGTTTACAATGCTTGCTTTTGGCTACTTATCCCACCTTAACCCCCCAAAATGAGAATCTTTTGGTGATAGTGTTTTCAAGATAGTGAAAAGAATTGATAAACCTAGGTATGGTTTGTTTCATGCAAGTGTTGAATATAGACCGATAACTATGGTCTAGTGCTAAGCCAGTATGGTGATTTTGTTGTGGCTCCTAGTTAAAGTGCCAGTGACTCCATGTGTAAGTGCTGGCTCTGAATCCAGGCAACTCTGCTTACCGTCTGGCAGCCTAGAGGCTCTGCCCACAGTTTCCACCTCCCTAAAATAAAGCGAATATTAATACCTGCCTTATAAGGTGGTTGTGAGGATTTAGTGAGATACTCCCAGCACATAGGTATTTATATAAACATTTATGTTGTAGAACAGCCTTCACCTTCAGCTTCTGTGACCAGAAGATTATTTGATGACACTAAAAAAGACAATAATTGAAATCGATGTGATTTGAGTTGTTTCGAAGTTCGTGTCTGGGATCATTTAGTGAGAGTTAGATGGCAAGCTCATTTAAAATATAAACATTATATCTAAGCGATTTCAATAGTGAGTTAAAATATTGGACCTTCACTAAGAAAATGAGATAATCGTGGCCACAAGTGTTATCAAGTAAGAAGCTATTTCAGGAGCAGCAATGGCTGTAGTTCTCCAGAAGGGAGACAGACTGGGCTGGGCTGAGCTGGGCTAGGCTGGGCTGGGCTGGGCTGGGCTGGGCTGGGCTGGTAGGTCTCCAAGTGAGACAGAAGGAGATGGTTCTGTTGTTGCAGGTTTCAGAGAGAGAAGTTCATAAAACTGCCTGAGTGCTTTGCCCAGTAACAAGTCAAGTACTTCATTTCCCCCCTGTAGACTTCATTTGATTTGAAAAATAGGAGTATGCATTTCATATGCAGAATATAAATAGGATCTTTGAAATGCATCTTTCCCTCTTATTTGTATTATTAAAATAATCTATTCTGTTGGTATTCAAGAAACTGGATGGTCAATCACATATTTTAATGTTCAAAATAATACAAAGGCCTGGTAGATCTCTGTCCTCATGTCTTGGTCACAGTAGGAAAGTAGATGTTTTGTGAGCAGCATCTTTCAATTACCCTAAAATTTGAAAGATGATTTGCATTGGTTGAAAAAGTCAATTAAAGCCCAAAGCTGAAAACAAGATTAAAGAACCGTTTTCTAATGTTACTCTTTTTGGTTGTTTCACTGATGAGTTAGCGCTCATTTCCATTTTATAAGATACACAAACTGACTCACTATACAGAGTTTCTTCATAGTCACAGAAAAATTTCTTGACTATGGATCTTTAAAAAACAGCATCAGCAGCTAACTAATCTTGAGTGAGAATGCATTTTGCACACAAATATACTTACTTTTTCACCAGGCTGTATGAATTATGATGCTGGATGTTTCTGGAGAATTCTCTTTCTTCTGAGGCAAGGGATTTTTCCAGCCAATCTCTTTGACAGGTTACTGAACTCTAAATATTGTTGCAGGGAATGGAGAAAAAAAATGACTTGATGGAGACAGGTTCCCCTTTCATGTGTGCTGATGGGTTACTGTCTCTGCCATCCTATTTATAGCCTCTGGGCTTGGCAGGGGACCAACTGCAAAGAAAACACACGATCCTTCCTTAATCATGTTTATGTATCTGAGATAGAAAGTAATCACTGCCTTCTCTTTTCTGCACAAAAATATCTGGCAGATGGTGGTTTCAGATTTTCAGGCTTTCGGATTTCTTTTTAAATCAGTCATTCCAGCCTATCTTTCTCCCCAACTTTGGTTTTCTCTTCAGTGACACCACAGATTTGATCTTCAATTGGAAAGAAACCATTTAATCTATTAGTTCATCTTTTGGAAACATCTTTTTTAGGTGACAGTAACATATGAAAGTGGAACTCTGTTTTATATTACTTCTTGCCTTATTTTTCTCACTAGTTTGCAGCATACATCCGGGCGGCCGTCCGAAAAGAAAAGGGGCTCCCCATCCTTGTGGAGCTTCTGAGAATGGATAATGATAGAGTTGTTTCTTCCGTGGCAACCGCCTTGAGGAATATGGCACTCGATGTTCGCAACAAGGAGCTCATAGGTATGTTCTGGTGACAAGATGAGCTGTAAATGTGAGAGCAGCTACAAAACTCGTGAAACTCTTCTTTTGATTAATAAATATATGGCTTCTAAAATCATTAACAGCTGAGCCCTAGTCTCCAGTTTCTTGGCGTATTTGAGTACTCCTGCTTTGTGACCATTCTTTTTCAGCAGGAGGCAAGCTCATTAATTAATCACTGATTAGGGAAGGTAAATTTTCAGAAAGGCCAGCAATTTTAGTTGTACCTTACAACAGTAGTAGAGTTAGTGTCTCTCATTTCTAAGAGAGTTCCCTATATTCTGAGCCACAAAAAATCTTAATTCTCCCTTTCCAATTTTTGGACTGATATCTGCTAATTCACCATCACTACCATACTCTAAATAAAAAATCACATGAATGTTTTGTAGCTTTCCCCTCTCACATCGGTATAAATGTTGATTCTAGAGAAGAACCACTGTCCCAGCATCATTTCCACCCAGGGCAGGGGCAGGACTAGGGTGAGCTAAGCAAGGCCCCAAGGCCACAACATTTTAGGAGGCCTTTACTCTCAGGTTTGTAAAGGTAGGATTGGCACATGCACAAATCAAACAGTGAGGACTGCTGTAAGCTCCGCATCCCAGGCAGCTTGCTTGCCTCTGGGACATTGCCACATCTTAGGCAGGATGCAGGCTAAAGAAGAGATCAGGGACCCCCCCCATAAACCTGAGCTTCATTCCTAGGATCTGCTGCTCACTGGCCATGCGACCTGAGGTGTCCTGTATAATCCCCTCCAGGCTCCATTATTCTCTCTAGATTGGAAAGGAAAGGAAACTCCTCATCTCTGAAGGGGAGCTGTTGATGCCTGCTGTCCTAACTGTGGGTTTACTGTAAAGAGGAAATTAGAGAACTCCATGCCAAGTCCTACAGCTGGTGCCAGGTCAGGGGAGAAGGAGGGGAAATGGGACAAGATCTTATGTGGATTCATCTGAATCTATAGTAAACTTAAAATACACCTGCCATGAGAAAAGGAGAGAGAAACAAGGGCGATGACGTTTACCATAAAGAGTTGCTGTAAGGATTAAACGTGATGACTTACAATGGAAGCCCTTCACACAGTGCCTGACAGAATTGCTATTTTGAATTGTTGCCCAGATTAACCTGCTCTTAACACACCATTCCTTTAAGCCAAATCATCCCCCTATGGAAAGGAAAGGAAGTTCCTCCACACCCTGTTCATGGTCCAGCTCGCGCCCGATTCTTGTAGATGTGCCATATCTCTCAGTTCCCACACTTCCTTGAGAGAAATCCTTCAAGTCCCTAAAGAGAGATATTCTTTATTTTTCTTATGGCTATATTGTTTGGATTTCTTGTAAGAAGCACGTATAATTTGGGCATTTTTAATGCTAAAATATACATGCTTGACACGTGTATCCTGTGGCCTGTCATATTTCACAACGCAAAGGCACAGGTTGACAGGAGCCCTTGAGCTGGTACTGCGAAGTGCTAAGACCTTTGGCAAGAGGAATGTGTGTTCCAAGTCTTGGCTTCCTCTCAGTGCGTTTCTGTGTTTTCTGTGAATAACCCTTTTTAACTTCCACTGGCCTGTCTCTCCAGTGATGAGCATTTTTTTTTACCTGGCTGAAGCACTCTTGAACTGTTCCATGAATCCATTTTTTTTGTTTGTTTCCCTATTCCTGTCTTCCTGTGAGATCTGCACCCCTCCTGGATTCAGTATTTAGCTCTAATTTACCCAGCACTTCAGTTCCTAAGAACCTTCCCCTTCTCTGACCTCTTCCCTCTTTTTTCACATTCATCATCAGCACTAGCAACGGACTTTCTTTTCAGAGCCATTTTTCACAAAGAAGCAAAGTTTTGTCACTTCATAAAAGTTACTACATACTTAACTGAGTGGGACCCACCCTGCTGTTTGGAGCTGCAAGTTCTGAGGGGACCGCCAGGCTCACTCACTCATAGGCAGAGCGAGCTGCCTCAGCCTAACCCCCAGGAGTGCAATTTAAAGTTATGCTTTGGCAAAATGACAGATTACATGTCATGGGCCTTTTGGTCATTCATGAATATTCAAAATCACCAGGGCTAACTTATCATCTGCTCTGTAAACCACATTTATCTTGTGGCCTTACAGTGTCAGCACTGTTTTTCCACTCTTCCTAACAGTGTTTGCTGTGAGCAACCCAGAGCCTTCCCTCCGACGTGCTGTACATTGCACAGCCTGTAGTTGAGACCTGTCTTCTGCTTACCATTGTATATAAACAGCCTTTATAAAAACCCCATTTCACATCCACTCAATTATTAGCATGGGGGAAACTAAGAAAATGTTTACTTGCACTTTAGTTCATTTCTTTTTGTTTGTAGTGCACTTACAGTTTGTCAGTTGGTAATCTCTTTTTGGAGAGGAATAAGAAAAATTCAGTATCTATAAAGAAATATCTCAATAACTGTGAGACTCCCCTCACCTTGTCTTAGCAAGAATTTCGTTATCGTCACATTACTCCTGGGAGATAACATACCTATAATTTTCATAGCAGAACTTTTACTTGTGTCATCTTTTAAAGAAACTAACATGTTGCCACCGTTGTCGTATCAGCTGCAGTACACAGAAATGTGTAACTGTACCCAGTTCACACATTAAGATCCAGAAAGATCTAATGGCAAGTATTGTTTGACAGCCTGACTTGGTCCAGATTCAAAGGTAAGTTTTAAAAAGCTTTAAGAGGAAATTGAGGTATTTGTGATGCATAGGAATTCCATTAAGGATAAAATTTACTATTACAATTCCTTCATTACTGAATGTTACTGAAAATACTTGAACGAAAACAACTCGATTTGTCTACCCAGTTTTACGCATTGATTTACATTTGCTTTCAGCAGTTGACAGTAATGTTTTATAAATGAATCATTTCTGCAAGTGACGTTGCAATAAATGTTAGCTTTCCCCTTATAATGACACTTGTCCTTTTCTTCTTTGCTGTGAGTTTTGATATTTTCCCCTGTTATTGTCTCTTTGGGGGTTTTATTTTTAAGAGATTGCATACCACCAGAATCTGAACAACAATAACCAAAACCTAGTATCTGGAAGTAGAATTTACTCTTTTGCCTTTGGCAGGCAAATACGCCATGCGAGACCTGGTCAACCGGCTCCCCGGCGGCAACGGCCCCAGTGTCTTGTCTGATGAGACCATGGCAGCCATCTGCTGTGCTCTGCACGAGGTCACCAGCAAAAACATGGAGAACGCGAAAGCCCTGGCCGACTCAGGAGGCATAGAGAAGCTGGTGAACATAACCAAAGGCAGGGGCGACAGGCAAGTCTGCGGCAAGGAGGTGCAAGTAGGGCTCTTATTCCTGAGATTGTGCTGTGATGAGGCCTTTGTTTGAGGATCCCTTTCCTATTGGAAAGGATTTATTTTTGCATTTCTTACATGCTGATAAGCTAAGCAGTCTCCAGCACTTACAACCTGCTGTGCTGGGAGAAGTATTTTCTGTTATGGGGCCTTTTTTTGGTTTTCACTTTATTGTAACACCCTCACTCCTACATTGGTATTTGTCTCTGTCTTAGTCTGTTTGTTCTGCCACAACAAAATGTTGTGAACTGAGTGGCTTATGAACAACAGAAATTTATTTCTCACAGCTCTAGAGGCTAGGAAATCCAAGATCAGGGCACCAGCAGATTCGGTGTCTGGTGAGGACCCCCGTTCTGGTTCATAGATGGTGCCTTTCAGCTGTCCTTGCATAGTAGAAGGAGGGAGGGGTCTCAGGCCTGTTTCTATAAGGGTGCCAATGCCATTCATGAGGGTTCTTCCCTTATGATCTAATCACCTCTCAAAGGCCCCACCTCCTAATACCATCACCTTGGGGGTTGGAATTTCAACATATGCACTTTGGAAGGGACACAGACTTTCAGACCATAGCAGTCCCTAAAGCCACAACTGGTCGTGCCAACTCCTGGAAGAATTGGAAATGCCAGGATGAGGAAAATCAAGGGGGCACCATTTCCCTCGTGCCCTTGTCTCTGCTCCAGGCCTGAGTGCCTGTTCTGCAAGAACGTCTTCTTGAATCCCCAGTTCTGGAACTGAGTTTTCTGCCACATACCCAGAAAGTATTAAAATTACTGCTCTGCAGCAGGGCTGCTGTGTGGCCTCAGGATGTGCCCCAGGCTTGGATGGTACATTTCCCTTTGCTTCTGCATGACACTTCACTGATGAAGCAGGAGGGAAGGACTAGAGAATCAGTGGTAAAAATTGAAGGCCGTTTGTCATGGAGCTGTAGCAGTGACTGTAAGTTTGCCTTAGCATCAGATCAGAGAAATGTCAGTAGGATGCCTGGTGCCATCTCAGAACAGCAGGACAGCGATCTCCCTGAGCCATAGTAGCTTGGCAGCCCTCTCCACCAACCTCCCTGCTTTGCTCTCTCCATAGTGCTGATTTCCCCTTGCTGTGGAAGTTATGTCTTCCTCTTGTACCTGACTCTACCATAGCAGGGATTTTTATTTTGGTTCACTGCTATATCCTTAGCGTCTAGAATAAACCTGGCCTGCTCATAACAGGTGTTCGGTGAATATTTATTAATTGGCCAAATGACAGTGCTGGAACTCACGTTACATCTCATCTAATCTTTATACTTTTGAAGGAGTTTCTAAAATATAAGAATAATCTCAAACCATATTCTCATCTGCCAGAAACCACACCTATCAGCAGTAATGATATTTCCTTTCAGTCCTTTTTTTAAATGTATATTTTTCTATTTCATTAGTAATAAATGGTTATAGGGAGTGGAGAGGGCTGGGAAGGGGAGTGAGTGAAACCATAATCACTTATGCTCTTAAAATGTCGCTGGACAGCCTGTACTTGTGAGCAGCATAAGAAGAGGCTGAGATGCTGAGCCAGTGCCAGAACCTTTGCATATTAAGAAAATTGCTACCAGTCTAATCTGTTTTTCAAAACCAGAGATTCGGAAAGTCTTGGACCAAATCAAATTGTCTCCTAGCTCCACACACTTAACTTTTCTCCTGATTCTTTCACAAGTACTTAGTGCCTGCCTGCTGTGTGCCAGACGCTGTTCTCTATGCTGGGCTTGCAGCAGCAGGCAGGTCGCACGACAACCCCACCCGAAGTAGCTTACGTTCCATGGGCAAAGTAGACGCAGACGAGGTGCCAAACGAGCAGAAACGCGTGGAGTGTGGTGGGTGGTGCTGAGGGGCAGGGCACATAATAATGTCAGGGCAGGTGATGGGCCATGCTGGGGAGAGGGATGCTAATCAAGGAAGGCCTTGCAGAGACAGGGCCTTCTGAGCACAGAGCTGGAGGAGGCGGGGAAGGAACAGTGCAGCTCCCTGGGGAAAGAACATTTCAGTTAGAGGGGGACATCAAATGAGAGAGCCCTGAGAAGCTAGAGGACCTCGTGTGCTTGAGGAACAGAAGGAAGCCAGTGGGGCTGGAGCAGAGCCAGTGAGGGTTATAGGAGGCCCACCCCAGCATGGTGATCTGATGGCCTTAGCCAAGGCAGGGCACCGCATTCCCTCTGCACTTACCCATGAAGCTACTGATTTAGAGCAGCGGCTCCCAAGGTGAAATACAGCGACTCAGGATGAGGACTGCAACTTGACTTTCGGATGTAGCAATATGGAGGTCCTATGTTTAAGAGAAGACGGGATGGTAGAAATTAGAGAGGCAAGTATATAACTGTTTCAAGGAGTTTTGCTGCAAAGGAGAGCAAAGAAACTTCCTTGCTTTTCTCATGGGTCAGATTTCTGCTCATGGAATTTGTGTCTGAAAATATGTAGCCTGTTGTTGTCAAGGCATATCCCGGGCATGGTCCTGCCTGGTCAAGTGTTTCAGCTGCCATCCTCCCAGGCAGCTGTGGAATCTGCCTTTTGAGCCTTCATCCTGCTGCCTAGCACTTAAAGACAGACGGGTGAACAAAGCAGCAACAGCAGGGCCCAGCTGAGAACAGGTGGCTATGCGGGGCAAGTGCCCTGCTCCCCCAAATCTGTCTTCCAGAGGCTGTCTTGGGTGCCTGAAATTTCATCTCTGTTTATTTCTTTGGGGTATTTAGCTATTTCTTGTTCCATAGTCCAATTTGGAAATAAAAAGGTTGGAAAGGCTTTGAATGGGTTGGCTTTACCTGGCTCTGCTCACCTAAACCCTCAGAATCATTAGCAACCCACGTTCTGTTGTTAGGGGCTGGCGAAGTAGCTCAGCGCCTGCTCCCCTCCTTCGTCCTCCTCCACTTCATGAGAGTTTAATTGGGAAGATAAGGAGTAGAAGAGAAAACCAGATTTTAGATCTGGTGTATACAGTTGAAGTCAAACTGTCAATGGAGTCTTAAGACAGAAGTGTTCAGTTGTCCTTAGGGCTAACTCCCCAAGCACTGGTCCATGAGTACCACCCCAATGTAGAGATCTGAGGGCCTTAGCCGAGGCAGGAAGTCCCCTTTTCACTTACTGGTGAGGCCACTGACTTAACAGCAGCGGTTCCCAAGGTGAATCCAGTGACTCATGGTCGGCAGTGCTTAAACAGAGCACCAGCATTTGCAAAATGCCCTCAGAGAGGGGAAATCATATCTGTGACCATGTTTTCCAAATTCAACATTAAAACACCCATTTTTTACTTAGAGGTATGAATGATGAGGCAATGGAGGTATTTAGATGAAGGCTTAATAAGGAAGGAGGGATAAAACATATTCACTTGGGAGGGTCCCCAGACACTCAGAATGTAGAGTCATGGTTGCATGAATCCCAAAGCCCCAGTGAGATCAGTGGCCCTCAGTGAAGATGTGGAGGGAAATTGGGATTGACACCTACCGAGATCCTCAATCAGGTTCGTCCAAGCCACAGCTGCTCCACAGAGCTCACTGCCTGATGGCCTCACTTCAGTTCTTGCCACCTCTGGCCAGTCCCGAACCTGATCAACTCCTAGGCACACCTGATCCCTTTGTGGTGTGTCCTGCAGTAGCCTCCGTCCCTGTGACCCTGAGAATGATGGCCTCTTGGCCACTGATTTTCATCCTGCACCCCTCCGAGTGGGGCTGAGGCTGTGCCACCCACATTCATTAACATCCTTGCTCTCTCCCTAGATCATCTCTGAAAGTGGTGAAGGCAGCAGCCCAGGTCTTGAATACATTATGGCAATATCGGGACCTCCGGAGCATTTATAAAAAGGTAACCTACAAGAATAGCTCTGGCATAATTAGCATTCATCAAAGCACATACTCATAATCATTTATTGTAATGAAATGTCATTATTCATTTTGAGAGGTTTCTTTTTCTCTTAACTCTGCAGGATGGGTGGAATCAGAACCATTTTATTACACCTGTGTCGACATTGGAGCGAGACCGATTCAAATCACATCCTTCCTTGTCTACCACCAACCAACAGATGTCACCCATCATTCAGTCAGGTCAGTGGGAAACGCCACTCCTTCACGAGAGCCTTTGTGTGACAGAACATTGTTTCCCAGCCAGAGAAGATCAAACATAAGCTGGTTAAGCCTGTCATCTCCAACGCTACCCATGCAGCAGAGAACCTTCTGTAGGAATCACACACCATTATAAACCACAAGCCCACTTTCTTCCTTCCTTTTTAAAAGTTTATACCAGTTTACATCAGCAAGAGCACCCCAGGCCCTGCCCTCAAGTCTGCCTCACTAAGTGTGAGAAGGGGCCCTGAAATCTGCAGTTGACAGACTGGACAGGGGAGCAGGGTGCCCGAGAGTGGAGGGCCACACTTCGAGACATGCTGGGTTATGCCGGAAAGTGGCTGCCCTGTATGCTAGCTGGCCGTAAGGTTGGAATCTCCTCCAAAGTGAATTTTTTTAAGTTTTCTTAGTGAAACCTTTTAGAAGCAGGGTCCTTTAACAGAGGACCTTTACGGTCTTCAGATCCGCAACCTGGGAGAGCTGCCTGCTCTTCTTCCTCTGCAGACCCCCAGCATCTGCTGCTAATGGAAGCAGGCCTTACGGGTGGGTTTGTGGGAATTCCTTTAGATTTTTAAGTTGGGAATCCTGTCAACCATACTGCGTACTTCTTTGTAAGTTTAACTTCGTGGAAAGAATGTTTTGAGATTCAGACTAAATTTTTTTACATGTAAGGGCAGATTATTACTGCCAAGCCAATCAGTCCTGTAAATCTAATTCTTTCCAAAATGAGAAAGGAAAAGTAATAAGTATCTTATTTTTATTTCGCTTTAAATCACCCATTCTGACTTTTAAATATTACCTATTTTATTCAGCAGTGTTACTGCTGGCAGTCTTATTTCTCATGTGGACAAATGTGACCAAAAAGACTAATATACATGGCCGGTGGTTCTTGCCACATAATTGGATGTCCCCACTTGAACTAGAATTTTTTTTAATTATCTGTGCTTGTTGTATATGGTATTTATCTTAGTTTTTAAATTATAGGTTGCTTTCTTGAAAGAAACCTACATGTCTGGTTTTTAACATCCTTGCTAAGCTCCCAGGTATAGCCTGAAACTGCTCTCTTCTAGAAAAATGTTCAGAACCTTTTAGGGTCTTGGGGATAGAGGTGCCAGGGAAATAAAGAGGTGTGGCTGCATAACGAAATGCACATAGACAAGCAAAGGATAATTTTAGATCAGTGTGAGCTTGTCCAGTCTGCGGCCAGGGGTTTTATGCGTCCCGGGATGGCTTTGAATGCGGCCCAACACAAATTTGTAAATTTTCTTAAAACATTATGAGATTTTTTTGTGACTTTTTTTTTTTTTAATTTCCTCAGTTATTGTTAATGTTAGTGTATTTTATGTGCGGCCCAAGATAATTATTATTCTTCAGTGTGGCCCAAGGAAGCCAAAAGATTGCACACCCCTGGTCTCATTAGCACATAGTTACTGAATAGTGACCTTGTTTTCAGGACGCCTTAAATATACATGCTGGACAGTGTTGACTAGCCCCATTCAAATTCCTAGGTGCCTCTTGGGATTCTGGTCAGTGGTAGGGAATACTCCACTTCTCCTCTCCAGTTATTCTAAGGGCTGATCATGCATCCCTTCACACTAGTGTGGGATCTGCTTCTGGGCATGTCTGATGCCTGGCTGATGTCATTGGAGGCAGGCGGGTATGCTTTCTGTCCTACTACCTTCTGGAAAGTAAGCAAGGTGAACAGCACATAGACATTGTCCATACATGCTTGCATGTTTAACACTGAGCAATCCTATGTCAGTGAGGTGACTTTTTAGGAAAAGTATTTCATTGTCAGTCTTCCTCTGAAAGTGTCAATTTGTACAAAACCACTGGTGTCAAGGTTTGGGGTGCTGTTGCTTTCGAGTGTATCAAGTGAATAAGTAGCCACTATTATTTGAAATTAAGGGAAGCAAGATGATTTTTTTTAATAAGAAAAAGGAAAAAAATGTATGTGAAATGTTTCTCTCTTCCTTCTGTGCCAGAGTGTCCAAAAAGAGTCCTAAGGATAGATACGGTATTATTAGATGTTGACTGAAGCTGGGCTAAAAAAATCCTCTGGGCCTTTCTGAGGTCAGGACTTAGCACCATGTGTGTTTCCTGATGACCCAGGCTTACTGGGTTTAAATTGTTTCCTTGATAACCATAAAAAGAATTATAAATTTTATAGACTGGGTGCTCTTATTCAAACACGTTTAGAGATGTGGATATTTTTAAAATAATTAGAAATCAAAACATGCCATAAAACTTCTGTTGACTGAAGAGCTATACATAAAGGATAATAGGTGGGTATTTTGCAAGCAACTGAACTGAGATCATAAAATAACAGGTATAACTCTTGCATGGCTAGTAAGTTATGATCACTCACTCAGTTTCAAAGGCCTAGTTAAAACATTGAGACACACTGGTGGGGAAACCTGCATGATCTCTACACTGTGCCTCTTTAGCCGGGCGGCTTGCCCTCCAGCTTGAGAGTGAGCCCCGATGCTGACTTTGCTGAGTTGTGCAGTGGCGGGCCTGCATGCAGGTCGCACTTGCGGTACTTGGGTCTAGCTGCTCTTCACCTCCCAGCACCTCTGAGATATTTTCAGCACCAGCTGTGTGTCATTTCTAGTTACTGACCTTTGTGTTTCTGGAGAGGATTTTCCACAGATACTGATGCTGATTTCTCTTTCTTCCCCTCTTTCTCTCCTCCTTTGCCTCTCCCTTCAGTCGGCAGCACCTCTTCCTCACCAGCACTGTTAGGAATCAGAGACCCTCGCTCTGAATACGATAGGACCCAGCCACCTATGCAGTATTACAATAGCCAAGGGGATGCCACACATAAAGGCCTGTACCCTGGTAAGACGCCAGTTGGGTGTGTGATACAGTCTCTTGAAAAGCCGCATTTGCAGGCACTCGGCCAGTGGCCTGGGAAGTAGCCTGTGCTTGTATTGAGACGGTCCCCCAGCAGCAAACCATGTTCCAGTCATTCCCTTTCCTACTTTGGGGATTGTTGCCTTTTCTGCTTGTTTAAAGTAAAACAAGCATGTACTTGTATGTATGTATGTATGTATGTATGTAGCTGTACGGTGGCCACAAATAAAAAGAGGGCTGTATCCAAATAAATCATTTCTGGCTGCTCACTGGCACAGTCCCTTTGCTCCGTCCCCTCCTGCCTTGAGCAGTCTCTGTGTTTTCCACATGCATCAGAACCCTCAGCCCGGTGTCGCTTTGCAGGGGCTACGTCTTCTAGACAGGCCCATCTCTTAACTTCAAACCAGAGAATGGAGATCAATTTCATTTACATTTTCATGGAGAAGAGTTTGAATAAATAGCAAAAGGTATAATGTGATTCTTCTCAAAGTGATTATTTTTTAAGAATAACAAAAATAATGTTACATAGTGTTAATATTTTTATATCCTGTTCAGAAAGCTGTGCATACAATTTATTTAAAGGATACCAGCCCAAAGGGTTACTAAGATTTCATACTCTTCCCATTCTCAACCGTCCAGCAGATTATAACTACTTTAGATGTTCCAAATAAGTCAGTGTAAGCTACCCCACAAAAAGTACTCTTTTCTCAAACCTATTAAAAATAAATAAAAGCTAGTGTCAGCTTTACTCCTGCTGGGGGAGCAGTCTCCGTTGTACTGTTGTCTTTGAAATTGTGATTTCACAGGACTATTTACTAATCGACTGTTGTTACTATGGCAATTAATAGCTCAGAAAATTGCAGATGCTACATTTCAGCACCAAGCTCTGTGCAAAAGGAAATGCACATACCAGCTGAAGTGCATGGTTGCTTCCGACTTGCAGCAGCCTGCCTTATCTTACAGATCGCCTCTTTAGCATGCATGCCCTTCTGTATCTTCTTCGCTTGCTTCAATAAACTAATTTGCCTCAAGTACGTTTCATTTTCCTCATTAAAAAAATAAAAATCTTTGCTAGCCTTAACAATAATGGAAGGGTAACATCATCAGGAGTCTACTATGGACTTTTGAAGACAATTATCTCATTATTACCAAGTTCCTTTTGTATTAAAACATACTTAAATATAGCAGGCACAAGACTGTGCCTCCATTGTTGCCCAACGGCTGCTCCTTCCTTGACCTGAGATTTTGAATCCCAGTTGTTTGGAAGGCATGGGGCTTGTTCAAATACTGTGTTTCGCTTCTCCTCTCTGACCCACTGCTGTAGCTCGGAGCCCTGGAAAAGGGGTGTTCCTCAGCTCAGGATCCTGTGCTGCTGTCCAAAGCCAGCCGGAGAAACCCTCCCACGTATGAGCAGAGCTTGAGCAGGAACCTTTGCGCATGGGCTCTGCACTGGCATTGCTTTTTGGGGAAACACACGCGGCCTGTTTTTGCCATAGTTTGGCTATTAGCCGCCCCCAGCCCTGAGTTAAGCAGCAGCCAGGCCAGATCCAGACCCTGAGCTGCTACCTCTCCCAGCCTGCATTGGCACTGGGGAAGGCAGGCCCTGTCGGGGACAGCACTAGCCCTAGTGCAGGGGAGACCGCTCAGCCTAATGGACCAGAGTAATAAGCACTAGTTTTAATTTCATAAAATATTTTCTTACAGGCTCCAGCAAACCTTCACCAATTTACATCAGTTCCTATTCCTCACCAGCAAGAGAACAAAATAGACGGCTACAGGTGAATTTGCAATATCATTTTTACAGAAGGCCGATTAGCAGTTAACACAGTAAGGGGTCCACGTCGGTTGACTTCCCAGAGCTGGGCCAACACGGCAGGGTCCTAGATGCTTTCCCTGGGGATCTTCACTCCTTGGAAACTCACCCGTGGTTTAAGCAAAGCATTTCCACGGTAGCCTCACGTTCTTAAGTATCCACATCGGTACTGCTGAGACCACCACGCCACTGATGGGGACAGCCAAGAAGTCTTTAGTTCATGTCCTTTGCCCAGCGGTGTCCTTTTCCCACTCTTTTTCTGTTAAGCTTTAAAATCTCTTCCAGCCTCTGGGTGAGGGAAGGTTGGTAAGCACACTTCATGCCCTCATCACCTTGTTCTCTTTTGTGTATACCTCATTCTCCATCTCACCCCTCTCTGTCCAGGCTCCACAATTTAAAAACACTGAGTCCATGGCCAGGTCTGTTTGTGTCGGTGGTCAAAGTGGACTCAGCCCCTGCCGGAATGGACCTCACTGTGGGAGAGTGGGACTGGCGGTTATAACACATCCCGGCTTTGCTTTCATGAAGGGCCTGCAGTCAGTCTCAGGTCCTTCCCGGTGCCGTGGTGAACCTGGACCATCTGGTCGCTCCTCTTCCCTTTCAATAACAGAGCAGCTGGAGTTTCCTAAAACAAGACTGTATCCTGTCCTTCAGATAAGGATGTGTTCTAAGACCTCTCCTTCTCATCATCTTTTCTCTGTAGATGGAAGAAAACGAATTTTCCAAGTTATTCATAATTTATGCCATAGTTTTTTAGTCAGGAAAAATAGACCAGAATCATAACTCTGGCTTGAAAAGAGAATTTAGCTCTGAAATCCTTATAATGTTAGAATGCATTGAGTTCCAGGACATAACATTGATTCCTGTGTGGTAAATTTGTTACATCTTACTAAGTAGGGGGATTTGGGCATGATCAAGAAGATAGACATAATAACCATCACAATTTGAAGAAATTAATGTGAGGTCAACGCTAAGACCGAACAAAAGGAAATGGAGAGCAGTGTGCCCTTTGTGGGTGCCCACGTGTGCCTGGCCTTGCCCACTTACAGATGGACTTAGCCCTGGCTTGGGGAAGCCTTTTCCTCTAGAACCATATTTGCTCACATGTCTCTCCTAATTTTACTATTCTTCTACCTTGAGATTGCTTATTCCTTTAATATTACGACTTACAGCAGAGTTTCCAAAGTGTGACTATTGTTCACCTAGCCACATACATCTTTTAAAGTGGAGAGATGGACTCCATCTTCATATCCGAAGTAAATGTTTTAAAAGATGGTTCGGTAATTATGCAATTATGCAAGGCCCAGAAACCCAATCTTGGACTAAATTAGTGATGTGCTAATAATTCCCCTGTGTCAAAGCAAATGTCAAGACCATCCTCTCATTCGGCATGCCCAGGTAACGGGTCCCTCCACAGCTGAGCACACAGCAGGCCCTCCAGTAAGGAGGGGAGGCCGCTGGGGCCACGTACCTGGAGATCTCAGGCTCTCCTGAGGCACCTACTTCTCTAGAGGTCTTAGGACAGGAAACTCAGCAGCCTGCCTGAGAGTGCAGCTTAAAATCCTTAGAGTCCAATAGTAAACAAACACATAGTGTGTGCCAGAAACAGCTTCTAACCTTAAGCTGCAACTATTGAATATTGCTTTAAAAATATGAAGCAAGAAGCCCACATTAATTTTCCTGACACATGTCTTTTTAAAAAATTGCTTTTATTTATTTGCCTTTTCATTTTGTCAACAGCATCAACAGCTGTATTATAGTCAAGATGACTCCAACAGAAAGAACTTTGATGCATACAGATTGTATTTGCAGTCTCCTCATAGCTATGAAGACCCTTATTTTGATGACCGAGTTCACTTTCCAGCTTCTACTGATTACTCAACACAGTACGGACTGAAATCGACCACAAATTATGTAGACTTTTATTCCACTAAACGACCTTCTTATAGAGCAGAACAGTACCCAGGGTCCCCAGACTCATGGGTGTAGCATCAAGATGCCCGACAGAGGAACTCTTTCTTTCTAACCTTGTTTGGATTGAGGTGAAAAGTCCATCTTGCTGATTTGATGATTGAAATGTGAAAGTGAAGTGGAAGGAATGAGTGAAGTGCGTTTTTTTTTTTTTCTTTTTTGAGGAATTATCAGGGAAGTGAGGAAATTTTGGGAGAGGACTTTCTAAGCTCTATTTAGTTGTTAGATCTAATTACTTATAGATTCTGTAGTCTGGTGAAGGTGTGGGTGACGTGATGAGAGGTTTGAGAAATGGGTGAAATGAAATGGGGGATGTGTAGGTCAAATCAAATTAAAGATTTTTTTAATGTGAATAAAGTTATGTTCTGATAGTTTGTACAGAAAAAATAAAATGGATGCCCATGTTTTATTGCTATTACTAAATGTCAAGATTGTATGCTATTATGTCTTGTAAATTTCTTTGTTGGTGTAAATATGGAAATGCCACATTGGTTAAGTGCCATCATTTGTAATGCAGTGTGTCACTTGAGAAGAGATTTGAAGAAACTGACAACTTCAAAAACAAATGGGAAGCCCAAGGAACTGTGAGCAATTAAAAACAAACTGCGATGCCCTTTGTCCCCACCACGCGTAGTGTACTTTGGAAGCACAACGTCCAGGCTGGTACCGCAGCGCCATGCCCATTCCTCGCCTCGTTCATAGGACACTTCACTGCCATTTTCTATGCACATAAAAGAAAAATAAATGTGGAAATTTCATCCTTGGAAATGTGTTCTCTATTCTTTTTAAATTTTCTGTATGTATATGGAAAAGCAGATTTAATAAACACAAATCTAACTGCATGTTGGAAACAGCCTAAACATATCCAACTATTTTGGACTTTTCCTAGTTTTATATATACTTTGTAAGATGGACCACACCAAAGAATTAAGCTATGAACTTTCCTCCTCTGACTATGTAGGTGTTTTCATTTCTTGGAATCTATTTTAAATCTAGTACACTTTACAATTTTATCATGTTTTTCTCAGACCCATATGTACATATCATCACTCTTCACCTAAGACAAGTTATATCTGGCAGCGTGGCCATAACTAAATTGATACTTTTTTAGGCATCGTTTTTAAGAACTCGGTAACTTCATAATAATAGTGGTTGGGCATTTATTTCGTTGGCACCAATATAATAAAACAAATTCTAAATTATGATCTTGTTGAATAATTCCATGAGACAGTAATTCCTGGATTAGGAATGGGGCAGGGGAAAGAAGCCCCACAGATAGGGTAGGCAGAGGTCCCCATAGCACCACACAGCATTACTTGGGAGCTTTTCTCCATCTGTGGAGACAATGAGGGGCACCAGGCCCAAAATCTGAGGCCTTCTCGGGTCTTGCAGTTTCCACCCTTCAGCCCTAGCTCTTGGATCTTTGTGTAAATATGGAAATGCCACATTGGTTAAGTGCCATCGTGGAAAACTAGGAACTAATTTACCTATAGCTGTACTAGGAAAACTAGGAACTAACCCCCATGGCGTCAAACCCAGAAGTGTTGTCTTTACTCAGTATACCCTGCAAGTGTGATACAAATCACAGATTAAAACATTTGTACTTACATTTGTGAGTATATGGAAAGAAACCCAAGAGAAAGCTATGTTTTGTTGCCGAATGGACAGCAGCCCAAGATTAGCATCCAAAGTGAAATGGAAATACCAGTGCGAGCATGAAGGTTCCTAAGGTCTACAAGCTGGGAGTCTTTTTGGGGCGCCTTCTTCTGAAGAACACCGAGCCAGCTTGCGGAGTTGACTGCGCAGCTACTGAGCCCTGGCTGCCTCACACCTGGCGGAGCTCAGGAGACAGCCCTTGTTAGACGACAGAGGTCACCAGATGTTCCTGGGGAACTGGCATCAGGACTTGTGGGATGTAACCACTTCAATTTCCAATCACTGACTTCCCTGAACCTGGTATCTTCAGATCTGGGTTGAGGCCGAAGGCTGTCAGCTGGGGAATCAGGAAAACAAGGGAATCGGAGCCAGCCCAAGCCGATTGACAATAACTTTCTTTTAGTGACCGCATTAGTTTGGAGTAATGCTGTAACAGGCAGCATTTCAAAAACGGATCCAAATTTGGATTGAAAATAACTCACCTGGGTCTCCAATCAGACCTAACAGCCAGAAAGAGGCCTGTGCACGGGGACTGAGCAGAAGATCTAATGCTGTTTAAGACTCCTCCCTTGAGACCAGAGGAAAGAAATCGCAGATACAGCCTGAATGATACAAAAGGGCATCATTGAGGGAAAAACCAAGCCTACTATTCCTTCAAGGTGTGGGAATAAACAAGCTTTGCTAAAACAAAGTTGACTTTTTATTGCTGTCTTTACGTCACTAAGTAGCATATAGAATTCAGCCCACTTCCACCCTGTCCCAGAGGGTCAGGGCTGAACTGAGCCAATGTCAGTGAGCTAAACAAGGGTTTCCTTACCCTGATTGCACATTAAGAGTCACCCGGACCCCACCCTGACCAATCAAAACCACAGAGGTGGAGTCCAGGCATCAATATTCTTGAAAAGCTCCCTGGGTGATTGCAGCATGCAGTCAGCTGAGAGCCACTTGGTACTCCCCATTCTCCCTCCATCCCTTGCTGTTGCACGACCTGAAAATTTAGCAGCTGGGGTTTAGGGCGCGGAATTTGCCTAGAAGCGACGGTTAGATTTGGAGTGTTATCACTGAGATCTTAAACTTGGAAAGTCGATGTGAGGTTTTTCTTTTTGCCAGAGTATGTCTTTTGCCTGTGTACACTTGTTAAAGGTTATGTCCTTTGAAGTCCATGAGTATCAGAAGTGATCACCACACAGTCCCATAACTGTTCCAATCATTAATCCCTGGCCAGTGTTTGATTGTCCACCCGATGCTGCTTCTTGCACTGAAATCCCAACAGTTCACTTTATTGACTGCTCACTATGTGCTGAGAGCACCATATACGTTATCATCCAGCCCTCACAGCACATGTGACATCTGTACTGATAGCCCATTTCACATATCCTGAAGCAAACTTGGAAGAGTAACTTGCTGAAGATCATACAGCCATTAAGGGGCCATTAGCGTTACACTCTATCTTAACCACAATGCCAGTGGTTTTCATATTTAATAATTTGAGTTTCAACTGAACGTCTACGAAGTGTTTTTCATCATTGCTTTAAATTTGCCAAAGGACTCTATTGCTACTCTAAAGGAGAAAACCATCACTTGCCATAAATTGTGGGCAAGTGATGGTTTTCTCATATACTTTTTAGTAACCATAAAAATGAACACTATTAAACATAAAAAATGTCCATTTTTTTTAAATTAGCTGGGCATGGTGGCATGCACTTGTAATCCCAGCTACTCAGGAAGCTGAGGCAGGAAAATCACTTGAGCACAAGAAGTCAAGGCTGCAGTGAGCTATGATTGCACCACTGCACTTCAGCCTGAGTGACAGAGGGAGACCCTATCTCCAAAAAAAAAAAAAAAAGCCTGCGTACCACCAAAATTTATCTTGTCTACCACCACTGGTGTTACATGAACCTCATTTTGGGAAACGAGTTCTGATTATTCTGATGTGTGTGATGATTTAGGTTTGGCTGACAACTCCCCCTAAAAGAATGTTGTGAGCTATGCCTATAAGCCCACTAAAACAAAATCTGTCACTAGGCAACCCTCTCATTTGGGGGCCTCAGCAGTACATTTGATAGAACACTTATCCAAACGTATTGGGTGGTGGTTTTATTTCCACAATCAAACTGGCTTGCAAGGAAAAGACATTTGAAAACTTGGCCATTGCTATTCACTTATTAGATTTTTAAAATACCATTGTTTTTAACAGCATTATTCATAATTGCCAAAAACTAGAAAAAACCCAAATCTCCAACAGAAGAATGGATAAACAAAAGTTACATCCAAGAATAGATAAAATTGTGGTATATTCATGTAATAGAATACTAGTCTGCAAAAAAAAGAATGAGCCACAGTACAGAGACATGGATGAATCTCAAAAATATGCTGCTCAAATGCAGGAGAAAGTTGCAGAAAAGAGTGCATAAAGCATGACTGATTCAAGAAGTGGAAGAATTCATCTATGGAGATAGAAGTCAGAATCATGGTTGTCTGTGGGGCTAGGTATTGACTGGAGAGCTGGGTGATGGGAATGTTCTATATCTAGGTGGGGGTGGCAGTTACCCAGGGGTATGCGTTGATCAAAACTCATCAAAATAGCCGGGCGCGGTGGCTCAAGCCTGTAATCCCAGCACTTTGGGAGGCCGAGACGGGCGGATCACGAGGTCAGGAGATCGAGACCATCCTGGCTAACACGGTGAAACCCCGTCTCTACTAAAAAAATACAAAAAATTAGCCGGGCGTGGTGGCGGGCGCCTGTGGTCCCAGCTACTCGGGAGGCTGAGGTAGGAGAATGGCGTGAACCCGGGAGGCGGAGCTTCCAGTGAGCCGAGATCGCGCCACTGCACTCCAGCCTGGGCGACAGAGCGAGACTCCTTCTAAAAAAAAAAAAACAAAACAAAACTCATCAAAATAGGCTGGGCATGGTGGCTGACACCTGTAATCTCAGCACTTTGGGAGGCTGAGGCGGGTGGATCACCTGAGGTCAGGAGTTTGAGACCAGCCTGGCCAACATGGCGAAACCCCGTCTCCACTAAAAATACAAAAATTAGCCAGGTGTGGTGGCGGACACCTGTAATCCCAGCTACTCGGGAGGCAGAGGCAGGAGAATTGCTTGAACCTGGGAGGCAGAGGTTGCAGTGAGCCGAGATCGCACCATTGCTCTCCAGCCTGGTCAAAGAGAGCAAAACTCTCCGGACGGGGACACCCTCAGCCCTCATAACAGATTCCAGGGAGAGGGCACCCTCTTGTCCTCATCTCTGCCCTTTGTGTCTCTCTTGCACACACATCTGCCCCTCAGCACGTCGGTGTGGGGAGGGAATTGCTCCTTAAACCTCAGGTGGCTGACTGTCCCTACCCAGCCCAGGACATTTTAGGAAAAAAAAAAAAAAGAAATGTGGGGGGCTTCTCATCTCCCCAAGATTCTCTTCCATTCAGCCAGATGTTTCCTGTATAAATGTTTGGATCTGCCTGTTTATTTTGGTGGGTGGTCTTTCCTCCCTCCCCTACCACCCATGCCCCCCTTCTCAGTCTGCCCCTGGCCTCCAGCCCCTAGGGGACTAGCTGGGTTGGGGTTCCTCAGGCCTTTCCTCTCCTCCCTCTTTTCTTTCTGTTGATTGTCGCTCGAGCTGGCTGTATTGCTTTTTAATATTGCACCGAAGGTTTTTTAAATAAAATTTTAAAGGAAAAGGGGAAAAAAAATCAAAATGTACACATAAGATCTTCATTTCATTGTATGTAAAATCTGCCTCAAAAATCAGTAAGGAAATACACGCATTGTCTAAGACTTGGTTTTATGAACTAGAATCAAAATTTTGATTATTAGGCTCGCATGAGTTAAGAAAAATCCATATACCTCTAACATAAAGCATAATTTCTTTCTTTCTTTTTTTTTTTTTTTTTCTTTTTTGAGACGGGGTCTCGCTCTGTCGCCTGGGCTGGAGTGCAGTGGTGTAATCTCAGCTTACTGCAGCCTCCAACCTCCCAGGTTCAAGTGATTCTCCTGCCTCAGCATCCCAAGTAGCTGGAATTACTGGCACCTGCCACCACACCCGGCTAATTTTTGTATTTTTAGTAGTGACGGGGTTTTGCCATGTTGGCCAGGCTGGTCTCAAACTCCCGACCTC